TTTTCCACAAAATGTTCAGTTTCTGGGTGGACAATCAGCCTGATAATGGTGGCAAAGACTATGGAGCCAAAGAGGAGGATTGTGCTCACATTAGAACTGGTGAAGGATGGAATGACCTTCCATGTTCTTATCTTCTGAACTGGATCTGTGAAAAAGCAAATCATTTCACAGTCTAAGCTGCTTTACAATAAAGGTCATAATTCCATTTTGAATTATACTGTGCCTGTAACTAAAAAGATACAACTTTAAATGCCTTTTCAAATATTTCAAGCATTGTTTTAGCAGCCTCTGTAATCTTTCATCAATAAAAAAATTTACGCATAAGACCACTGAAAAAATAAAATCCACAGTTAAAGCCTTCTCTGATTATTCAGTGTTGCATAAGTAAAATTATTCTTTTAAGTGTCAGTAGGTTATAAGGTGCTATTTGTTAAAAATACCTCAAATTACAAACCATCACTGTTTCTGCTGCAGTTAAAAATATATTTTCCTTTATTTTTAAATAGTAATTGTTTTTACTACTGTTTAATAACTGAGGCACATGAAAAAACAAGAATATGTCATGTTAGTCTTACATTTATTATGTTGTTAGTCAGAATGCATCGTCTGAAACTTTCCATTATAAAACCCTGCAGGGGTAATTATACAAACCCTTTTCTAGCTGAGGAATAATAAATGATGCCATCTGCTGGACTCTGTCACTTAAAGTATTGCTGAATGCCTCACTGGATATGTTTTATTAAAAGCCTTGCATTGTCTCATGGTATTAAAGAGATGTACCTATAATCTCTTATGTTTCTGTCATTTTAGAACTGGATTTATTGCAGTAATTGAATTTGTAACTTGATACTCTTAGATAATTGTTCAATGAAGTTTTCATTGTGAAAAAAAGTTTAGTTTTTATTACACCAGTGCTGCACAGTTTATAACTTTTATAACTTAGTTGTGGAAAACAAAGATATCAAAAGAAGCACATTGCTTTGGCGCAAAACCTGTGGCAACAGGTGTGTCAGATGATTGAGGAAGAGGAAATAAACCGTTGCGGCTGTGATGTATCCCTGACTCCAAAAGGATCCACAGTAACTGGATCAGAGGTGAATGATAACAGCAGATCATCCACTACTGTACATAAGGAAAGGGTGGTTGGACCTCACTGTATAACCCCTCATTAAGCACATCATGCATTATCTTCTCTGACCACCAGATGGCGATAATACGTCGCTTTCAACATTATGACGTTTGTAAAGAAGCAGTTTTTTCACAGTACACACGTTTATGGAATGACAATTTTTAAAATTCTCAACGTAGAAACCTTTCACCCAAAATGTATACTAATTATAAATCTGAATAAAAAAGAGTTTCTTTTTTAGTGATGACTTTGAACCTGGTATTTGACTAATATGTTGACTTTCCCTGCTGGCTGCAGATCTCTTTTGTGAATAATTTGAGAAAGATAAAATATCTTTAATGCTGTTTCATCCATCCATCCATCCATCCATCCATCCAT